ACGAACTTGCACGTCTTGACGAACTTGCACGTCTTGAGAAACACGCTCGTCCTTGTCCCGGTCGATTGATCGGTCGATTGATCGGTCGATTGATCGGTCGATTGATCGGTCGATGTTAGCCTTAGGTGTGATGATCTTCAGTCCGTCTGTGAAGTCATCCATGTGTGCTATATCTCGATTAAGGAGTCGGTCCAAGTCGCTAGCGAGTAGAGGGGTGAAGTTGGGGACGGGGTGATCAATGATTCGGTAGTGGACATGTTTAGGCTTCACCAAAACCTTACGCGGCATCCCCATGAGTCTGGCGATACGGTGCTGACCATGCTCCAAGTCGGCTAGAGTGACTCCTGGAATTAGGAGACTAACTTTCTCCTCGTAGAACTTCAACATGTTGGGGGGGTATTGAGCACCCTCGCCGAACAGAGGGAGCACTAATTGAGTGATGTCGTACTGCGAAGCTTCTTCTTCACTTTCCACTACCTTGACACGATACCCTCTCGCGTCGGCTTCTACCTCCGCAGAGACCGGGTCTTCCGGCCCGACTGGGTCTTCCGGCCCGACTGGGTGTTCGGTACCAGCCGCTGCCGAGTCTTCGGTACCAGCCGCCGCCGGGTCTTCGGTACCAGCCGCTGCCGAGTCTTCTGCACCAGCCGCCGCCGGGTCTTCGGTACCAGCCGCCACCTCCTCGACCAAAACTAGGTCGCCCACGAAGATCTGATAGCCCCGCTTTATGCGCTCTGACACCGCTTGATTCCACACGAGGCTTTGGACTGAGTGGCAATACATAGACAACGTGTTCTTATGTAGTTGCTGCAAGGCTCGGACAAAATCGGTCGGGTATGGAATCAAGCTGTCCACAAGCGTCTTCTCGATCCTATCCCAATGACGCAGGCGCCTGGCGGTGGCTCGCCAGTCCACTATCTCGCGGTCGTCCTCCACTGGCTGGTCCTCCGCTGGCTGGTCGTCCTCCGCTGGTTGGTCGTTATCTGCTGGCTGGTCGTTATCTGCTGGCTGGTCGGTGACGGGGTTATTGAAGCGTCGGCGTTTGAAGTTATTGGAGGTGGGTCGTCTTGCATGAGTGGTAACAATTTTGTTGCCGAAAATAAGATTGACAGCTTCTTCCCAGTTTTGTTGTACCAAGGCCACGCCGACCCTCCAAGTTGGAGTGCGGTTCGTACCGAATCTTTGATTGCCGAAATAATTGATGAAGCCCTTTTCTTTAATGCTCTTGACCAATTCCGGCACTAAATCGCTTTTTAGTTGTCTGAGGGGTACGTGTCGCAGGGCAATGCGGAAATGGTTTCCTTCTAGGTCGCCCAAGTGTATGCGTTTGGTCTCGTAATGTAGGTCTCCAATTTTCAACGACTGATCCCAGTTGCGATAAGTAGTGGCTCGCAATAACCGTGGTATTGTACATCGTTCCAAACAAACCCTCTGCACCGTAACTCCTCGCTTGTCTTTAGTACCAGCAACAGACACCAACTTAGGCTTGATGCCCATGCCACGACATATAGCGACTATAGCTTCGTTCGAATCACGATTCGTTTTCAATAAAGTAAAGTGCAAATATTGAGGCAAACTATTTGTCCATCTTGTCGTAGAATCACGGTTAGATGGCGCCTGATTCAACGGCCGACCTGTTAACAAAAAGGCTAACGCTGGCTTAATCTTCACTCGGAAGAACTTATACATATCAGCATCAGCTACTGACTCGTCAACATTATTCTTTAACTCATTCAGCTCGGGTGCAACATCCACAATGCACTTGTTACAGAAAGGTTCAAACGCTAATTTACGCAACAGATCGCTCGGTTCATAAACTACTCGGCAACTCGCCGCTTCCAGCATCTCCCCTTTCAGACTCAAACCTAGCTTTGGCGCTGGCCGGTTCTGAGACTCGTACACTCCTCCTGTATTGCATGTGTCTGTTACTAAGAATGGTAAATGTTGACGAATAAAGTCATGAAGACGCTTCCTCTTCTCTTTCATCAATTTCGCATCAACCTGTCCATCAACGCCAGCCTCAAAATTAGGTCCATCAACATTAGGTGCCGAAATTTTAGGTGATAATGTAAATGCGTCTAACACCAGGATGGCTTGCATATTCAGCAACCAACGTCTAATGTCATCACCCTCCTTCATACGGCGCTCTCTGTCTGCCGAATCTGCTTCCTCAACACCCATCTCAACATTCTCCTTGCTCTCTTCATTGTTCGCATCCTCCGCCATTTTATCATCTTCTACACGAGCATCATGCCTTTGGGCATCATGCTTTTGAGCATCATGCTTTTGAGCATCACGCTTTTGACCATCACGCTTTTCGCCAAACGGTCGGCGGTCATCCCTTCTGCGTGAATCCTGTGGGCGTTTTCTACGTACCCCTTCATAAGGGAATCTCTCGGCTACTACGCGATACCTTCCGACGGCCCGGATAAAAGTCACTAGTGATTCAATGTCGCTATCCTTCATGAATTCGGCTAGCCCTAATCGGACATCCTCCGCCAGTTCGTAGTTCTCTGTTATCATGCCAAGACCAGCCTCCCTTTCCAAGCACTGCATATGTTCCTGGCGAATTGTCTCCGATGATAGCAGAGATGTCAACTGACATATCTCACCACTCCTTTTTACTTCTCTAATGATACAAAATCGTATCACCCGCCGGTCCGGGTGCGTATCACCAACCGTGTGGCAACCAATCGTGTGGCAACCAACCGTGCAACTTACCTAACATGAAAGTCTTGTACTTGCTGTTTAAAGGTGCCCCGAATACGCTCAGTCCCGCTCACAAAACATTCGTAGCCAATCTCTGCCATGAATTAAAATTTGGGGGGGGCATCCTCAATCTGCCGGGAAAATGAACCGCCTTGGGATATTGCGGTGCTCGTTCATGCTTTACAAAAAGAATAATTGATGAGGAAACATCGACAAAGTTTTGATCGGTCATGCACCTTTGCCCTTCGAGGCTTTCTTTGCCGCCTTGCCTTCCTTTGCCGCCTTGCCTTCCTTTGCCGCCTTGCCTTCCTTTGCCGCCTTGCCTTCCTTAGCCCCCTTGGCAGTCTTGCCTTCCTTGGCAGTCTTGCCTTCCTTGGCAGTCTTGCCCTCCTTGGCAGTCTTGCCCTCCTTGGCAGTCTTGCCCTCCTTGGCAGTCTTGCCCTCCTTGGCAGTCTTGCCCTCCTTGGCAGTCTTGCCCTCCTTGGCAGTCTTGCCCTCCTTGGCAGTCTTGCCCTCCTTGGCAGTCTTGCCCTCCTTGGCTGTCTTGGCGACTTTGCTGATTCGTCCTTCCTTGCCTTCCTTACTGGCTTTGCCGGCCTTGCTGGCTCTTCCTTCCTTACCGGCCTTGCCTTCCTTACCGGCCTTGCCTTCCTTACCGGCCTTGCCTTCCTTACCGGCCTTGCCTTCCTTACCAGCCTTCCCTTCCTTACCGGCCTTGCCAGCCTTCCCTTCCTTACCGGCCTTCGCCACCTTGCTGGCTCGCGGTTCCTTCCCTTCCTTGCCGGCTTTGCCGGCCTTGCTGGCCCGTGGCTCCTTGCCCGCCTTGCCCGCCTTGGAGACTTTGCTAGCTCGTGGTTCCTTTCCGGCCTTGCCCGCCTTGCCTTCCTTTCCGGCCTTGCCTTCCTTGGAGAGTTTGCTGGCTCGTGGTTCCTTGCCAGCCTTACCGGCTTTACTGGTTTTCGCTCCCTTGCCTTCCTTCCCTTCCGTCTCGGCGTCTTCGGGGGCTGCCTTGGACTTGCGGGGTGCCTTGCCCCCCTTCTTGGCGGCCTTTTCGGAGGCGGGGGCCTTTCCGGGGGTGGCCTTTTTGGCGACGGTCGCCTTGGTGATCTCTGCCTTGGAGGTGATGCCGCTTTTGCCTTTAGCGCCCTTGCCCTTGACGTCCTTGCCCTTGACGTCCTTGCCCTTGGCCTCCTTGCCCTTGGCCTCCTTGCCCTTGGCATCTGCTTCTGTGCCCTTGGCTTTGACGTCCACGCCCTTGACCTTAGCCTTGGCGTCGGCACCTTCTTTGCCCTCGCCCTCCTTGCCGCCCTTGGCGGCGCCCGTGGATTTGACTTTCATGCCGGCTTTGAGTTCTTGTTTCATGTCGATGGGCTTATGCTTCGGTACTTCCTTCGTCGCACTCGCCTTCGCCTTGAACTTCTGCCGTAAATCTGACGCTTTCCATGACCCACCGCCGAACTCCCCCTCTCCTCCCTCCGGCTTGTTCATCCAAGCCGGCTTGATCCGCTTCACCTCCGGCTTCTTCGCCGTACCCTGCACCTTGATCTCGGCCTCCGTCTTCCCTTCCGCTTTTGGCTCCGCCTTCTTCGCAGCGATCGACGCGTCCGACACAATCGTCAACACCTTCCCCTTCGCCGCCGCTTCTGCCATCGTCGCTGCCGCCGAACCTGGTGGCGGTGCTGCTCCAGCTGCCCCCTCTCCCTCTCCCGCAGCCGCTCCCGCTCCAGCAGGCGCGGCTCCCTTCGCCGTCTGACCCGGCTTCGGCCCCTTCGCCGCCCCGGCCGCTGCCGCTCCGCCCTTCGCCGCCTCCGTAACCTGCGACTTCGCCTTCGCACCCGGCCGCTCGCCCCCCGGCGCCTTCCCTGCCTCGGCTCCCTTCCCCGCCGCCGTCGCCGGCTTCACCTCCACCTTCTGACCCG